GCTCAGAACAAAAAGGAGACCCCACCTCCGCCGACGGTGAAAAACCTATGAAACCCGGGCGGAGGCGTGCGGAGTTGGGTAGAGAGCGAAATCACGCCTCTTCAGTCAGCCACGCCCTTTATTCTTGCTCGGCCTCGCCACAGGGAGCAACTCCGATTGGCTGGACGACAACCTCAAAGGGCAGGGCTGCACACGTTCACTGTGGGAATGAGGTAGCGGTGGAGGGGGCAGTTGGGCGGGGATAGGCTGTCCTAGCTGAGGTGGTAAAGGCCAATAACTGTTCAGGCCGCCTCTCCTCGAAAAGTCATCTTCTCGCGAACCTTTAAAATTCCTTCCTCCCCAAGCACCTCAAGGGACTAGAACTGAACGCTTCATTTGTCTTTTTCCTTTTTGCAAAAGTCCCGTTTGCCACCATGGGGATGTACCAAATGAGACCGAGTAGGGGGAGCGAGTGGTGACTGACGCGCCAGGTTACCGGCCGCTGCTCTCCTTGGCGCTAGCAAACTTCTGCCAAGATCGGAACTGAGTATTAAACAGCCTCCACACTTCTCCCTGGTGCCGTCCCCGGCCCGGCGCCGAATCCCCCTGTGGGTTCGCAATGGCCGCGTCCCCTCCCGCAGCGGACGGGTCCTTTGGTACAGACAGTCCGAGGTGAGTCCCCTCCTCTCCACTTCACCCTTCCCAGCGTTTGCGTGCGCATGCGCGGAGCGCGGCGCGCGCGGCGGTTGGGCCGTTGGCTGTTCGGCCCTGGGATCCGCCGCGACTCCGCGATCACCCGGCTCTGAGCCGCAAGCCGCCGTGAGCACTCGGATTCGAGCCGGCGCCAACGAGCCCGGGGGCATAGCCCGCAGCGGCCAAGCTCATGGCCGGCTGAGCGGGACGCCGCCTCCGCCTCAGCCACCGCCGCCGCCGCCGCCTCCTCCTCCTCAGCCGGCGGCGGCCCGGGCCCAGCAACCATGGCCGAAGACTACTGGGACGGGCGCCTGCGGCGAACAGGAGGAGAAGGAGGTCGCGCGGCCTCATCCCGGGCCGCCGCCCCAGGCGCCGCCGCGCCGGCCCCGCGGCTCTGAGGTTGCTCGCGCGCCCCCGCCGGTGAGCGCGTCCCCGAGGCGTGGGGGCTGCCCCTCCTCCTTCAGAACCCACCTCGGGCGGTGCCCGGGGGTCTGGGCTGGCAGGTGCCCCCACCCCCGGCGAATTTCCCAGAATGCATCGGGGCGGGGGGTCATTTGGGGCCTCCCTGACCTTGGCCCCGCCCTGGGCCCGTCCTGGGAGCTGGGGATGGGAAGTGCTGTGGGTGCTAATGGGGAATAGGGGGAATAAAAGGACCAAAGGGTGTGGAAATGGGTGACAGTGGGGTGAAAGACTGGGAGGCTGCTAACGGGGGTCGGGGCATGTGGCATTAAGCCTCAAGACTGTGTAAGGTTCAAGGCCCAGTGTGTGCTTGTGGAAGGAGGGCGGGGTGCGGAGCGCGGAGCGGGTGAAGGACCCCAGGGTGTATAACGGCGGGTAGGATGTCGAGGAAGTTCCAAGACATGCTCATAGGGGTTATGTCCGCAAAGAGGCCCGGTGTGTGTTTATGGGAGACAGGATGGCACAGGTACCAGAACGTGTGCTGATGAGATCAGGGCTCTGAGGCCTGGCACGTGGTGATGAGGGCCGGGACGGTGTTAATACTGCCTGTCTGTCCGTGGGGCCTGCGGTTTGTGAGAGTGCAGTGTGTGTTTGTGGAGGGCAGGTAGTTGAAGGACTTGAGTGTGGCGTGTGCGCCAGTGGGGGTCATGGCTGTAGAGGGGGTCATGGCTGTAGAGTCATGCCTGTGGCCACAAAGGTCTGGGTAGTTTGGGGCCCAGTATATGCTAATGAGGACAGAGTGGAGGAGGGACCTGAGGGTATCTAATGGCGGAAGGACGGTGGAAGACCTGAGCCTGGCCTAAGGGAGATGAGAATTGTGTGTCTGCGGGCCTGGGAAGGGATGGTGGGGAGGGAAGTGTCTTAGCACTGTCAGAGGCTCAGTGCACAAAGGGTCAAGGTGATGTGAGATGTGTGTCCCTGAACACAGGGAATGTGAGTCTTGAGGGCACACTAAGAAGGAGCAGGAGAATATAAGAAGTTCTGGTGGTTGCTAATGTGGGTTTAGAGCCATAGAGGCACTTCAGTGTGTGCCATTGGGAGAATCAGTGTGAGGTCTGGAATATGCTAATAAGCGTCAGAACCTAGCGAAGATTGTGCCTGTGTGTGTCTGCAGGGGACCTTGTGTCTGCAGGGGACCAGAGTGTTTTGAGGTTCCAGGGAGTGCTACTTGGGGGTATGGCTGTGGAGGGAATCTAGTGTGTAATAAGGAGGATCAGGGCTTTCATGAAGGGATCCAAGTATGGACCAACAGGGATTATATCTGGAGGGGTCGAGCAGAGAGAAATAGAGGACGGGAATGTGTGATGATCTCGCTGTGCTAAAGTGGATTACAGCTAGGGAGGGCTGAAGTGTGTGCTAATGGGAGTCAGGGCTGAATGGAGATCTATGTGCACTAATGAGGGTCAGGCCATTGTAGAACAGTGTGTTTGTGTGTCCCTGGGGAATAGGGCTGAGTAGGGGTTCAGGGTGCGCTAATGTGGAGGCAGGACTGTGTGAGGCCCGCGTGTGCTAATAGGAATCAGGGCTGAGTGAAGGCTCAGTTTGTGCTGACTGAGGGGACAGGACAGTGGAAGGACTGGAATGTGTGTAAGCGATGGTCATAGCTATGAAGGGGCCTGAGTGTGGATAATACTGGTTAGAGATCTATCTGTAAGGTTTCCTTTATGTTAATGGCATTCAGGGCTGCGTGAAGAAGGTCCACTAAGTGCTAATGTGGGTCAGCTATAGAGTACCCCAAGTGCATGTTAATAGAGGTCAGAATCAGGTAGGGGGGAACAATATGTTAACGAGGGGGGTCAGTGCTACAGAGAAGCTGGCAAGCAGCTAGGCCAGGGAGGGACCCAAGAATGTGGTAGCAAGTTACTTAGAGGAGGCTGAGTGTGTGCTGGCAGAGTTCAGGGCGATATGTTATGTGTTAGGGCTTTGAATGCTGATGGGTATATGAGATGATAGCAGGTAAGATGTAGTGAGGCCTCCTTGAGAGTCTAGCATGTACTAATGGGGATCAGGACATAGAGTGTGATGATCGAGTCCTTAGTGGTCAGTGTGGTGAGTATCCTTGAGCATGAGAGTAGGCTGAGGATGGGTATATGTTTTCGGGGATCCGAAGGGTCAGGCAGGACATGTGCCCTTTTTGGGGTGAGGTTTTATGTCCAGTTTCTTGCTCCCTCCACTTTTTTGAAATCTAAAAAACTCAGACAACTGAAATGATATTTAAGTTTCCTTGCATATAAACGTTCAAGTATCTTTGTTCACAGGGGCTTGCCTGAGCCCCCCCATCCCCCTTTCTGGGAGTGTTTGTTATGTGAAATACAGATTTTGTACCTCATCTTCCTAAAATTCCAAAAAAACTGAACTCCAGAGCATGTACAGCCCTTGGGGTTTCCAGTTAGAGGTCGTGGTCCCATGGCTCCTGCTGGCTCCCTCCCCATCCTCCATTCAGCCCTACTTCCAGTCTCCCCCGGCCCCTCCCCTACTCTGTCAAAACATGCAAAGCAATTGGGTATCTGTGCCATATGGGGACACAAGGTTGTCTTTGGGAGTTGGCCATGCTTTACCTTCCTCACTTTAGGTCCAGTATTCAGCATCCCAGGTCAGGATGTTTTGTCGTTATCCTGGGTTCTCCATGGTTGGACCTCATCCTCTATCTGAGGTCTTTCTGCTAGGCTGGCCCCTACCCCTCCTGGGGATAGTGAGTTCAGCCAGAGGGGAGTTGGGGTGGGAACTGCTGGGGGAAGCACCTGATTTCAAGGTAGCAGATGACCCATTTCTCTCCTCAGATCCAGCCCGTCTCATCCTCGACCTCCTATCTAGCTCTACTTCCCTTGGGCCCAGGGCCATCTTAGGCCCTGCTGTGAGTCCAGATGGTTCCTGAACCAGGTCTTTCCCCCTCCTTGCTGGCCCAGAGCCCAGGAGGAAGCAGAAGAAGGCTGGCCTAAGCCTTTTGGTGGCCCCATTCCCTTCAGCAATCCATCTAGGTCATCTTCCTATTGATGCCAGCATCCCTGGGCTACCCTGTTTAGGGTTGTTCAATGAGTAGCAGGGACTCGACACCTCAGCAGAGGTTGGTCCTAGGCCCTCAGCCCTCTGATTCACTTTTTCTGCCATAAGCACTTTTTGAGCATCTACTCTGTGTCAGTCACTATTCCAGGTCCTCAGGATATAGCCGTGATCTAAACACAGAAACCTACCCTGGCGGAGCTGATCTTCTAGTTGTGGCGGTGAGGAAATAGACAGTAAAGACTAAAGAAACCACCAATAAGTAGGTGGTGTCATTTCTGAGGAGGTAATGAGTGCTGGGGGGATAACTGGCAAGGTGAGGGAGCTCGGGATGGTTGAGATTTTAAATAGGGTTATTCATGGAGGCCTCATGAAAAAGGTGACTTTTGAGCAATGGCCTGAAGGGAGAGGGGAGTGAGCCATTTCAAAATTTAGGGGACGGGTGTTCCAGGTACCAAGAACAACCAGTGTAAAGGCCCTGAGGTGGGACTCTGCCGGGTGTGGTTACAGAACAGCAACTAGGAATGTTGGGGGAAGGGGGGGTCAGAAGTAATAGGGGCAAATGAGGTAAAGACCTGCGGGCCACATTGAGGACTGGGGCATGTATTTTGGGTGATGAGAAATGTAGTACATTCTTGAGTAGAGGAGAAATGTGACCTGGCTTGTAAAAGTCTGGATTAGACCCTAGGGATCCTAACCTGATCAAACCTTTCTGGCAACCCTAAGAACAGCTGGTGTACACTGAGACATCCCGTCTCCCCCCCCCCCTCAACAATCCCACTCAGTGGTTGGGTCTGGGCAGGACACCCTGACAATCCCCCCCACCTGGGTAGATCAATGGGATGATGCGGTGGTTGTCATGACGATGATTGCTAGAGTCAGGAGGGGAGGGTCCCTGTGGGCACAGGGAATAGTCTGCCTTGGCCTTCAGTGGTGGTGCCAGGGGAACCATGCCACTCTACGGGCGTGCTCGAGGCCATGTCATCCATCCCTCAGTTCTGGGCCAACGCCCTGTTCCACCCATGGCTGGCCCCATCACTGCATCTGTACCTGAGAAGATCTGCTATGGAGCTTTCTCCTGCAGTGGGGCTGTTCCCCTAGAGGCCAACAATCCATCATTTGGGCCCTTGCCCTCAGTCAGCCACCTAAATACAAGAACTCAGGTGGGCTACTTAGGAGCAGGGACCCGGGGGGCTGGCAGTGTGGGTGGGCAAGTATTGACAAGGATCCCTGACCATGCTGGGTTTCCAGAAATCCCGAGTGGCCCTAGGGGGTCCATAGTGGTTGAGTGAGCACGGACAAGTTCATGTCAGTGCTCCCTGCTAGGTTGTGGGCTTAAGGGGACCCATGGTGATCAAGCAGATGCTAATATGAGACCCATTTCCATCCTTGCCCCTTGCTTAGATCGCCATGGATCGGATGAAGAAGATCAAACGGCAGCTGTCAATGACACTCCGAGGTAGCCGAAGCATAGACAAGACCAATGGTGCCACTGAGCAGATAGGCCTGGATGAGAGTGGTGGTGGTGGTGG